AGACAGGAGAGAGGGGCAGGACAGGGCTTCAGCACCTCGCCACCACACTGGTGCCGCTTGCGGGCACAGTGCCCGTGCCGAGGCACGCACAAAATAATGCTGGGGTTATGCTGATTTTTTGGTGATAGAACTGTTTCACCAGCTGCTGCTGAAGATACAGTGACTCAAGAACCTTGGAGCACCAGCAGATAACTCCTGCCGGGAGCAGAGTCACCACTTCACCCCAGAGTATAGCCAAGTGTGTGTGTGAACTGTCTGAGACCATGACAGAACCCTGGATTAGAGGGATGGCATTCAATGACTTTTTGTTTCTTTGGTCGGTAATTTCTCATATTTGAAGACGTATCGGAATTAGGCACCATAGGAGCTCAGTAAGCAAGGACAACAACGGCAGGATGCTGGCCGGGAAGCGTGTCTCGGCGCCGGGCGAGGCAGCTCCCGGTTCGCTTCTCAGACCGGGCACGGCGGGGGAGGCTCCCGCGGGACCGGCCCGTTCCTGACCCCCGCAGCCGGACTTGCCTCTTTCTTGAAGACAGAGAACTTGGACGCGCATCCATAGCACCGGTTATCCATAGCGGTACGCCCCAGCCCGCCCTCAGGCACGGCGCTGCACCCCCGCTATCCCAGGCTCCATGGTCTGCCCGGTGCTGCGGCTGCCTCAGGCCCAGGGATCGGCGGCGAGCGGGGCTGTCACAAGCTGGGAGCCGCGGACACCACCCTCCCGTCCCCTCAACACAGAGCTGGCGACGCACGGCCCTATGGGAGTTGTAGTCCCTTGCGCCTCCCTCCCCGCCTTCAGAGGCCAGGCAGCTCTCCGGAAGTAAACTACACTGCCCAGGGTTCCACACGATCCCAGGGGCCGGCCGGCTGGCTACCATCGCCGCGCGATGCATTGTGGTACGTGCAGTCCGGTGCCCCTGCCCGCCCCCGCCGGAGGGTCCCTGGCCCAGAGGGCATTAGCTGTTCTTGGGTGTTAATAAAACATGAAAGTGTATTCTCTAAGGCTGGCAGTCCTTCAGTAGTGCTGAAGCTACTCTGGGTGGGGTTTTTTGTCCTAAACCTGTGGTGAGATCCTGGCTCAGAATAGCAAGAATCAGCTGAACTGCAGTTCAGTGTCATCTCAACCACAAACGTTATCACAACCACAGTTATTTGTTTATGTAAGGAAAATGTATTTTAAATTAAACACAAAAATAGACCTAGGAGTAGTAGGTTTTTCTGTGCTTCTGTAATGCTTTATTCCAGGCTGTTTTTCTCCTGCAGCAATAATTGACAGATCTCTGTTCTGGTTCTTACAGACTACAAAAGCATAGCACTCAAGAGCTCTGATTTACTTCCCAGGCAGGAACCAGGACAGTGTCAAAAAACTCCAGTTATCCCCAGCTTTTGCCAGCGCTGAGCCGCCTGCCCTCAGGAGTAAGCGCCCTGCAGTGTTTGCAAAAAGAGTCACGGAGTGCAAATGAGTCATCCCGTTAACCGCGGGGGCTCGCAGGTGCTTGGGCATTCTCTCCAGTTTAATATATAACCCCGCGTTGTAAAGACCCACACAATTAAATTAGGAAACTCACTGATTTTTTCAAGGAAGTAAAACGCATTAATATCTGAATAAAGCAAAATTTAAAGGGAAAAAATGGGGGGGGGGTTTCTCTCTCAATCTTTCATTTCTGGCATGTGTTTGCTTGTTGGTTAGTTTTTTTAATGGTAAAAAACATTAGAAAGACAACTGGAAGCTAAACTTCGTACCTGTCCAGCAATTGTGTTAGAAACCACCCGGACATTCCAGGTATTGTAGGCATAAAGCAGGGAATCGAGGCAAATATAAACAAACCCACATGAAAGGCTTCATTGGTTTTGCTATTGAGCTGCTCAGTGGGAAAACAGGATCAGGAGACTTCAATCCTGATGTTACAGTGCAACCTACCGACTGACAGGTAGAATTTGGAGTGCAGCTCTTGAAGAGAAAAGACAAGCAGCAATCCAAGGGACCCTTCCCACCCCTGGAGCGGCGCCGGCAGAGGAGCGGGGGGATCCCGCAAAGGAGACGGAGCGGCCCCGAGAGAGGCGGCTGGGCTGCGGCGCGGAGCTGGGAGCCCGGGCGGGACGGCACAGGCCGGGCTCTCTCTCCCTCTCACCTGTCTGCGGAGGCGGCGCTACACGCTCCCATTCCCGTTCCCATTCTCTTTCTCGTTCCCGTTCCCGTTCCCATTCCCATTCCCGCTCCCGCTCCCTGCAGGTGTCCGCCAGAGGGGGCCCAGCCCCCGCGGTTCTCCGGCTCCTGAGGCGAAGGCCGTTTGGCAGCAGAGCAGCAGCAGCTTTCCTTTATTTCTCTTTTTTGCCCGCTGCTGTTTCCCATGGTAAAGCGAACTCGATTATAAAATCCTAGGTGACGACTTAGCCTATAAGGTTTTCAATTTCTATTTGAAGTGCTGGAGAGATTAAATGGGCTTTGGTTTGTGTGTCTTCCTGCCAAACTCAGTTGTTGCACAGTAAGTTGTACGTTCTCTGTCCTACAAAGTTATAGCTACTGTGCTCTGGGCAGCTCCCACCTGGAGTCCTGCATCTGGGTCTGCACAGAAAAGACAAGGACCTGTTGGAGCACATCCAGAAGAGGACCACAAAGATGGTTGCAGCGCCTTTCCTATGAGGACATACTGAGGGAGTCGGGTCGAGTTGAGTCAAGAGATGAGAAGGCTCTGGGGAGACCTTATTGCAGCCTTTCAGTACTTACAGGGGGCTTATATGAGATGGAACAAGAGTTTTAGCAGGGCCTGTTGTGATAGGACAATGGTTTTAAACTAAAAGAGGGTTGATTTAGACTAGATAAGGAAAAATGTTTTTATGTGTGGGTGGTGAGACACTGTAACACGCTGCCCAGAGACATGGTGGATGCCCCACCTCTGGAAATATTCAAAGTCAGGTTGGATGGGGCTCTGAGCAAATTGGTCTAGTTGAAGATGACTGCTTATTGCAGGGTTTTGGACTAGATGACCTTTACGTGGCCCTTTCAACCCAAACTGTTCTATGATTCAATAACCGGGGTTGTAGTCATGCAAGCAAGCGTCATCTCAACCACAGTTATTTGTGTATGTAAGGAAAATGTATTTTAAATTAAACACAAAAATAGACCTAGGAGTAGTAGGTTTTTGTGTGCTTCTGTAATGCTTTATTCCAGGCTGTTTTTCTCCTGCAGCAATAATTGACAGATCTCTGTTCTGGTTCTTACAGACTACAAAAGCATAGCACTCAAGAGCTCTGATTTGCCTCCCAGGCAGGAACCAGGACAGTTGCAGAGCAGGTAAAAAAGGAATATGTGGGCACAAACACTCTTATTTCTTACACAACACAGGCTTCTGGAAGTGAGTCTCTCTTTAAAAACATCTGGTTTTGTATGCAGTTAAGGTAATACCTGTTTGTGTCATGAGTTATGCACATCTATTGGAATGCCTATATTCCTCACTGCTAGATACCTCTGTGTTTTATGGTTAAATCCTTACATTTTGGATTTCAATAGTGTGTTAAGTGAGTGCTGAACTTTAGTTAGAACTTCTGAAAATCCTCCTATTGTGGTATTTGAACCCTAAACTTTTGACTATACTGTCCCTTGTGTCTACTAGCTGGTTACTCTTCCTTCATATAGTTCAGAATGTGAGTGTATTTATACATGGGTAATGTCCTACTTAAAACTGTATTTCTAGGGACAAAGTGCAAGACCAATATTCCTGTATGTGGTATATTGCTTTTGGAATATGCTATTCATGCTCTTTTACCAAGTATGGGTAAACATCTATAACATTGCAGTCTGTAGAGCTCCACATCAGAGCAAGGGAAGGGAGTCTAAAGTCATACTCAAGTTACAAAGCTGTTCAGCAGTGTCTGTTTAAAACAGAGACCTGTTCAACTTCGTTATATAATCACAGTTGTCATGGGGTTGTTACTTTTGCACCTCCATCAAAGTCCTCAGACTCAAGGAGAAGAATTAGCATTTTTACAGTCAGAAGCTGAGCTTAAAAATAGAAGTAGAGTTTAATTTTCTGACATGCTGATGAAATGGTTACATTCTCCAAAAATATGCCAATCTAAATAGTGAGTCAAATTAAATGAAGGAATGCTTTTTATAGCCAGAAGATTGGAGCTTGTAAGAAATACAAATATTTGTTGCCTGCTGTGCATGCACTTTCCCACCATGATGCAAGAAAGCTCTAAACCTTGATGTCCCCAACTTATCAATTATCATTCTTCTGTGGGTGAAAATTAACCAGTGCTTAAAAAGCAAAACATTACAGATCTTAAACCCTTCGCCCCCCCGCTGCTTCAAAGTCATCATAATTCAAAATTTTCTTGGTTGCCTCAGTGCTTGTTCCTGCTACTCTTAACTTTAGTTTTTTTAGTTAAATCTGTTCCCTGACCTGGTCCATCTCACAGAGGAGTAGTGCAAATCTTTGAGTTGAGGTACTGTGTGTCATACCGTACTATGACACCACTTGTTTGGTGTCAGGTGGTGATTTTACAGGCTAAACTCTGGTGCCTATATGATCTTGGCTTCAAAATGTAAATAAGTGTGTCTGAAGATTTTTCTGTATGCATGCTGGAATGCATATTTAGGTTGGGTAATAGCATTTGCTAGAATACACGTTAAAGTTGCTACACAGTTGTGTTCTGAATTTTTTTATGGACACAGTTTCTACCACTAGAAGTCCTTGAAAATCTGCTTACATAGTTTCAGCTCTGCTATTGTGTTTGGCCATGCAACACCAGCAATGAGAATACTGTAACAAAAAGCATACAGTCTCAGACAGAAGCATCCCATGGGCAGGAACATTTCTGTCCTTGATTCACCATGGAAATTACACCACTGTAGATGTTTGACTAAGAGGTCAAACTTCATGCTTGTTAAAGGTATCAGGCTATATATTTTTTTTTCTGAAATTGGTGGCTTTTACCTGAGGCTAGCTGGACTCTTACTATCACTCTGTGTTTTTCAAACCCCGTCTGTATTTTACTTACCTAGCAAATGTATAACTCATCACAAATCCAGGCAACTCCCACACTAAATCGCTGTGGAATTCAACCAGCACAAAGTTCCCAGTGGAAGTAAAGTCTGCAACCTTCTCTGTCCCACAATAAGGGCCAACTGCAGGTGACATAGGGCGGCTTCCATCATGTATGAGCAAGTAGTCATAGACACATCTGTCACTATATTCCAGCTCAAAGGATAACATTTTGAGAGATATCTGCAGAAATACAACCAAAGCACTTTGTTTCCAGGTTGCAGCCTTTTCTCTTACCCATTTTTTAATAACAACAAATACTCTAAACTCCTTGTGTGCCGGCACCATTTTTTTATTCTGTGTGTGCACCACATCCTGATTCCATATGGCAATGCAAATTAATAGCAAATTATTTGCTTAGTTCATCAGTATTTGGATTGGAAGGAGAAGCAAGGGACAGGATTGATCTTCTATGCTTCACATTCTTTCCTCTAGAGAAATATAAAAACAGCACCTGTGTGATGTTTCTGTTTTCTAGTGGGAGCTCTTACCTAGGGATTATTTTGAACAAAGCCTCGTGGTACAGGCTAGATTCATGTGTTCAGTTTCATGTGTAAAGGTTTTCCCTTGCTGAGCACCTCAGATACCAAGATCCAGCATAAATTCTTAAAATGAATTTGTGCTTTCAGATTTTTACTCTGAGGATATCTGCTGAAAAAGTGACGTAACAGCTCTTATTCTTGACAGGAAACAGAGTTTCATCAGAGAACAGTGATGAAACCCACAAATGAATTAATATGTGCCTTACCTTGTATCCTACTGGAGAAGTGATGACCCAGAAACATGCTCGGTTTTTGGGGTATTTATTGGGATAGTTTGGAGAGATATCTGCTGAAAAAGTGACATAACAGCTCTTATTCTTGATGGGAAACAGAGGTTTCATCAGAGAACAGTGATGAAACCCACAAATGAATTAATATGTGCCTTACCTTGTATCCTACTGGAGAAGTGATGACCCAGAAACATGCTCGGTTTTTGGGGTATTTATTGGGATAGTTTGGAGAGGTGATGACTCCCTTTGAATCTGTGAAAGTGGCTCCACAATTCACTGAGGAGTAAAGGAGAAAACCAGATATATTAACAAGAGCATATTCTCAGTAGAAATGAGCTTGCTTACAGCCTATTTTATTATTTCTTCAAACCAAGAAAAAATATGCTACCATGAAAACCTACTGCTGAAGTACTTTATTTCTTCACTTAGTACTTGTATCAGCAGCTGTACTGAAGAAACTAGAAACACATCTGATAAATAATCTTTGGAGGATAGGGAACAGCTACATCTAAAGCTGACTTTCCAATCAGCTGTTACCATATTAGCATAGCATTCTGATGGCACTGACTGCCCTTCAGAAAAGAATCAGCTCAAGTACTCAAGATTGCATTATCAAATTATATCTGGTGCTTTCTAGAAATTACTCAATTGAATAAAGCAAAAAGAGTAAAAATGACACTTTTCTAAGACTTCAATTTATGCTCCAAAGAAGCTTGGTTTTTTAGTTGAAATCAGGCAGCTTTGGGCTACTGCCTTCTTGCTGAAAGCACGACACAGCATAACAGAATTTGGTCTGGCAGTCCAGAATGCATTTGTGTATTTGCAAAAAAGACACCCCTCACATGATTACAGAAAGCACAGTGTTTTGTGTATATAACTTTCAATAAAGTTCTTAATTCAGAAGGTGTAAGGTACCCAAGGTCAGTACCTCTGCTACTGCATAAAATCCCACAAAAGCTTGAATAATGTCTTGCCCAGATACTGGCTTTGGATCTCATTGGTTGAGGTCTCTTGTTGATTCTGCAGTCTTTGTGCTCTTTGGCTGCACTGCTCCTATTAATTTCAGCCATTGCATTGGGTTTTTTTAAGACATTGTTCTGGAGATATGAAGAAGCCTAACAGAGGCTCTCAGAAGAATGTGAGTAGGATCTCAGGATAACTAACATGAGACTAACTAACTAACATCCCACTTTCTGTTTCCTGTGAACCTTTAGACATACCATTGCCTGGCCTACTGCATTTCCAATTGCTGTGAAAGTGTGAAGAATGACAGCAAAAAGACCTACTCTGTAGTGTATAGTATAAGTTTTCATTTCTTCTGTACAAATACTGCTAATGCTGTTCTCCAAGCTTTGTAAAGGAGTGTTCATACCCCTGGTGTAGGAGGCTCTGAATCCTCTGGCTGTAATGCTCTCATCGCTTGCAAACTCTACCAGCATTGTGGATCCAGATGCCACTAAGGAGGGCAGTGGCCCCTTCCCACAGTACTTGTCCAGCAAGACAGGGGAGCTCTTGCTGTTCCCATTGTAAATTTTTATATAGTCAGAAGAACAGTCTGAGGAGCGTTGGAGATCAAAAGTCTCAAACTGCAGGAAGATCTGGAGAAACAAAAAAGCAAAAGCTGGATTTAATGTTATACACAGGGAACGTTTTAAACCTTCATATTCATTTTATTATCCATGTATTACTGAAACTTTACTTTCTATATAAAAAGAGTACAGAATTTCATCTAGCTGTCCTATTACTGAGATCCCAGAGACTGATGTTTCACTACTGCTTGTCTTTGAAAAGCCATTCTATCTGAACTGGATAAAAATCAAGTGAAATAATCCCTCTAATAGTCTTAGTTCTTATGAAAATTGTTGAGACTTTCATTTACTGCATAACAAAATAAATGTCTTGATGCATGAACTGACTCCCAGGGGTTATTCATGGTAATGAAATAATGCTGTGTAGCCTGGATACTGTGCTTCAAACCTTTTTCTTCCTGATAAAAATTACCTTACTTCGGCGGATGCGGATCAACCACAGGCAGTTGCTGTTGTTCGGGTACGGGGATGGGTAATTGGCAGAGGAGAATGAGCCTTTGGGTTTAGGCAACACAGAGCTACAGCAATCTGAGGGGAAGAACCAAACAGCATTGAAGAGAATGAAAACTGCACAAAAATATTCCCATAATGCCTGAGAAGTCTCTCCAACCATTTGCAGCAGTCAAGCTTGTATAAATTAATTATACTGCTTACTGCTTAAATTGCTGTTCCTGGTCTAAAAATTATTGAAAACCTGCAAGTGAAATAAAGATAGTTGAAGTACTTGCCCATTTCAGCTACTAATATTTTTTTAAAGACAATAGGGCTTCATTCACACATATTAGTTTACTAAAAAAGGCCTGGATCTTTCAATGGACTTCCTTAACTTCAATCACAGAAGCACTTTCAATGACAACAGTACATAAATTTCTATTAGCAACTGTGTGTATTCATAAGTGTGTGCAAAAATCAAGTTTGAAAACAAGATTTTGTCAAAGCAAGGAGAGGTAGTCACTGAGGGAAAATGGTAACAGAGAGCACTAAAGTTGACCTACAGACCTAGTGACTGGTATACAACATCTGATCTCATCTGTCTTTTGTTTTTCCACATCTTCATTTTTTGCATTTTATGTAACTCCTCAAATTCCAAAATATGAATGTATGACATCTGCTCATAGGAATTTTTGACATTTTTCTCTCACTTCCTACTTTTCCTGAGACAACCAGATTTTTTATGGATTTTTTTAGTCCCCAAGTTTGTCTCTCTTTTTTAAATTCAGTGCTTTTCTTCCAAAAAATACAGATCTAATTATGAAATTGCATAGTAATGGTACTGAAATGTGATTCATTCCCAGCCCAACTGTCAAGAATAAATATCACTAAATACTTGTTATCACTATCTTTGAGGCACATAAATTGTAAAGTTGTCTCATCTGCAGTTGTAAATTTGGTGGAACCACTCTCAGCAATGATTTCTGTAGCTAACAATCCAACTGAAGGAATGCTGATTCCTTCTAAATTCTAATTATTTAACTACATTCTAACACAAGAGTAGAATTTAGTACACTAATATTTAGGTCTTGTTAATGCTTCTTGCTGTTTTGGTGGAAACTAGTCAAATACCACATAAATCAATTAGCCTTTGTCCTGGGAGTTAAAGCAAAACCCATGCAGTGCAGAAGCATGATGTTATACCTGTTTTGTGCATCTTGGCTGAAGAGTTCCTGTTTACAGAGGAATGTTAGCTGTTGCTAGACCTTAAGATACCACAGGGATGAGTTAAGAAATGGATGTGGCAAGAAAGTAGATATCTATTCAAAATGCCAATGGTTTTCTCCTCCAAGGGGTTCTGATCTGGCTGAATAGCACCCATGTTTACAGCCCTGCAGACATTTTGTAACTAAGAGAAATCACAAATCTGCTGGCACTACTGATGCACATGACTCTAAGCTATACTCATGGCTGAGGAGAGCTTACAGGCTTTGCAACCTTCAGAGCTTTCCTGAAATGAGAATTTGACAGAGGTAGCAACCATGGGTTCTCTGATGGATTTTGCTTATCTCCAAGAGCAGGGATTAGATGAGGATAACTCAGAATGAGAGTGAATTATTGAAAGTAAATTGTCCTTTCCAAGAAGGCAGCAGTTTGGCACAGGGACAGTTCTGTTTCCTTTTGTAGGGTGAGAGAGGTGTAGTGAAGGCACTGTGAGCCGCATTCCTTTGGGAAATGTCTGTCAGTGCCTTCAGACATCAGCTGTATTCATATGCCTTTTATCTACAGCACTTACTGCACTTGTAGAGCTTGTTGATTTTAGCTACATCCAAGTTACTCAGCCCATCTCTCTGCCCAATAGGTATAGAGGGGTCAGGAACTGGTACAATAGTTGGTTTTCCTGGAGTGCTGGAGAAATCATACCTGTAGAAATAAGAAAATCACATTTCTAGATTGCTTTTCATAGACAGGGATGTTTTCTAACTGCATTATAATTTCTCATGTACCATGTAAACAGAATTTTAATGGAAATAGACAAGAAGCTTCTCAGAGACCTGGTAGCCTTCCCTGAAGAGGACCAGCATGGCAGATACTTGATGTTCAGCAGATGAAAGCAAGGAAGCAGAAAAAGCTGCTCTGTCCTGAGTGAAAAGGCCTTTCAGTAATGTCCAGCAAAATGGACTAAATCCCACCTTCTTGGTTCCTGAGGCAGAGGAGCAGAAATAGTTCTGTCTCAGTGACTAATTGCCTGTTTGCTATCTGCAATTTCCTACCTTCTGCTAGTCCAGTTTTGTTTCATGGTTTTTTTCAGAAATTATTACTTGCTTGTGGAAATAAAGGAGAAGGTACATGATACAAGTTTGTACATTATGGACTAAAATGCAGCCTTAGACAGTGTTCCCAGATTAGATTAACAGAAGGCAGCATGCAACATCTCAATAATATAAAAAGAATCCATCTTTCTTGCCGCTACACTTGAATGTTGTTGTCTATGATTAGCTGTTACTACGTTTATGAAATAATTTAAACTCCAGAACTGGTTTAGATCAGTGGTTCAGTAGAATTAGACTTTGGGCCAGAGGCCTGTCAAAGGCCTTTAGCAAGAGGCAAGAGTACACTGGAAGAAAAATGTTGTCCTATGTTTTGTTGCTAGCCAAATCAACTCGTTTTCCAGGAATCCTGCTGACAGAGAAAGTATGCTCACCCTTAATTATGTCCATGCACTCAAATGAACAGCAAAAGTCACTCCCTGCACAGAGCAGCTTCTTCTTCCTAGATCTGAGCAGAAGGTCTGAAAGCTGTTTGCTCCTTGGAAAGGATATTTCCGCAAACAACTTACGCGCCATAGTGCATCACTGAAGAGTAGTCATAGGGAAGGCCCAGGTTTTTGGAATTCATTTTTCCAAAGTTCCCTTGTTCCCCTGTAAGGTAGGAAACTAGCATTTCAGTCAGAACAATTATTACTGCTCTAATAGTACACTGCCTGCTGTCATAATCCAGAGAGTAACATAGGACACTAATATGTGTTCTAACGAGATCTTGGACCTATGAAAACCACCAGAGATTTTTGAAATCCATGGGAACCCATTTTTACAGTCTAGTAGGTTTCAGAATATAAAGTTAATCAAATAAGTTTTGATATAATCAATGAATACATTCTACTCTTCAAACAAAAGTATTCATCTGTCCATCTTCGTTAGGGTGTCTCCAAATACATTTCAGTGCATTATCTTGAATACTATAAGCATCCAACCTATGTCCCCAAAGTTGCATTCATACCTTAAGGGGGAAATCTGGCTGACCACCTAGATGAAAAATTAGGAGCTATGCATGGGTGATGTCATGCTGAGTCCTAGTGCCACAAAAAAAAGGAACATATTTTCCCTGTTACTTGCCCCAGAGCCCATGCTACCAGACATGTTCTGGCTTTGTCTCTAGTCAAACCCATCAGCAGTGACTAGAGTGAAGTGATATGATTCACATGAAGCAGAAAAACAAATTCTGTCAGAACAGCTGCTGAGCATCTCATCACTTTTCATCAGCCATAAAAGCCAATATGAGATAAGGTGTTACACTGATACAGGGCTGGGGCCCAGGGATAGAGACTGAATTTCATGTCACCTAGCTTTATTTCTTCAAGTTAGGCACTGAAACTATTCCTCAAGGCTTCCAGGATAGTCAGAGGAGAGGGAAAGAAAGAGAGACACAGTTGGAAGGAGTTTCATATTTATTTTTCTCACTGACTGGAGATCATGAGTATGAATTACATGCTGGGTCTCTTCTCCATGGTGAGACAGGCAAACAAGCACTGTCAGAGCAGGGAGCTGAATGCAGCCAGCCTGGCATTAAGAGTAAAGCCCTAGCCACTGAGCACTCCTTTCCAGTTCTGTACCTTCATTATTGTAACTACAAATGTGGTTTGTAAACCACAGACCATCTGGACAAGAGTTTGGAGCTGGACATCCTTGACATCTACACAACTCAGCTGGCAGGCTTCCAACTAGAGCAAATCTCAGCCAGTAATGTCCTTCAGCACTGGTCCTGGGCTGAGGGCTAAGAGATGCAGAAAGATTTGAAATCCCAACTAATAGAAATTTGGGGATAAACATGGATTTGGAGCTTTTCATAGCTCTAAAACTCAGTTAAGGCTTAAACTGTTTCTCAACAGCATTGGCCTTCCTGACTCTGTTTTAATCTCACTCCTTCTTATCTGCTATACTAACTTCAGAAAGAATTATCAGCAAGTGTGCAACATTTTTTGAGGTGATGAACAGAGAACACAGTTCAAACGTGGTGAAACACTGAAGCATATGGCTACTGTTTGGCACATAATTGCTTTGCTGAATTAGTTTGCTAAATAAAGAAAAAGTGACAGCATCCTAGCTGGACTGAGGTGCTGCCAGCAAACTGTTACCTACCTCATCACGTGCCAAAGAGATCTGGCTGTCTAGACCTGCACATGTTTGGGGACTTACCCAATCTTTTCCACTCTCAGAAAAAAAAAAAATCTACCTCTGCCAGAATGTAAGTGCAGTGACTCAGAAGAGCTGAAAAGGAAACTATGGCTGAAAACTCTGAATATTTTTTTCCCAAAAATGTAGGAAAAACAAGCTGAGTTTCAAGTAACTAAGTGGACAGCAGCCGATCAGGCTTCATTTTGTCAAAACAAAGAAGTAGGATGGCTTCCAAGGTAAATTACTGGATAAAAACAAAACCCAGAAAACATTAACAATATGAAAGTCCTGTGAGGAGAAAAACAGCTTGTGTGAGAGAGCTGAGACACTGGAAAAGGTCTTGAGGTCTAGTTCTGCACCACCAAGGTCAGCAGGAGCTCTGCCATCAGCAGTGTTAACAGCAGCAAGTTGTAACATTACAGTCCTCATGAACATAACTCTCCATTTCCTTTTCCCTGAATATCTTTGCATTTTTTCCCTACAATGCACATTCCAACTCCCTTGCCACACAAATCATCTCATTCTCCAGCCATGGCAAACACTCAAAACACTGATGATATACCTAATCTCCTTTGGCATAGCCTTGTCTTCTTTACCTCTTCCCCCTCATTTATCATTTCATGACACTGTGCCTGAATCACAGCTTAGTTACATCTGTATCCTTCAGGAATTATGACATCTGAACCTGTGGAGTTCCCTTTGCAAAACTACTATAAGACTATGTGTGTTTAGTGTATATAACTTCATGATTTCAACTTCTCTTTCCTAGCACATCCTTTGCTGACATTTCAAACATGGCACACTCTTGTTGTACAATGGCAAACAACTCACAGCAAAATTACACTTTAACACTGGAGCTGAAACCTCAATAAAGAACAACACAAATGGAATTTACTTAGGATATCATGGGAATTGCTGAAGAAAGTTTGGAGAGCAGTGTGTTAGGAATTTGCAATGAAAACAATCAAGTTCCATCTGGAGAAAAAGATGGATATATTTTTAGCTGTGCATGATATTGTGTAGTTGAGTATCTAATTTGTTGAAGAGAGTTAATAGAATTTGGTATTCAATTCTCTGGCCTCATTTACTATTATTTTCTCCAATTAACTCAATAGACTATTGTATTTTTACAATTGTTTTGGGTTACTCAGCTCTCTAAACAGCTGTCAGACAACTGATGCCCTGCATACTTTCTTCTGGTATTTTTCTTCTATGTACCACTTTCTCACTTTCCCTTGGACCTCTTGCCATTCTCTCTACCCTTTCCTCCCCAGAGCCTGGAGCTCTTGTATATGATGAGCCTATGTTCCCAGCACACAGATCATGGGCACGTGCCCAAACAATTAATTCTGCATTCCTTTCCATAAATAGTATCCACTTGTTTTTTCTCTACAGAATTACCACTCCTGATTGCTTTCCATGGCTCCTTCTTTTCATGTGTCTATGATCCTGTCCATGAGGAGGAAATAATTGCAGTCTTTCCTCTCACATCATGCCAGGTCCCAGAATTTTGGAAATGCTAATGGTTGCATGTGTTTCCAATGCCTCCACATTGAGCCCCTGGTTCATATACATTTTAGGATATGTGCATTTCACTCAGTGCCAAGATGCCTACTGGCTGCCTTCCCTTATTTCCACGGCTTTCCTGTGATAGAACTGTTGTGTGATTCCCCAACATGATCTTCAATGTCACACTTCACCCCCCTCAGTTAAGGATACCATAGTCTTTTCTCCTGGCCAAGTCTTTGCAACAACATTCTGTAATCCTGATGATCCTGGTATTTTGGGGTCTGGGATCAAGATGGCAATCAAAATAAGAATATAGAGCTACTTTCAGGCTGCATCTTTCACAGTGCCATAGATGTAGCCACAGAAATTCCCTTAGTACAAACACTGAACAAGAAATTCCATCACACTGAATGTGCTGCTGCTGCTGCAATTCAGCCTGCATTTAATCACGGTTCTTATTTGCATTGCTGTTCACAGGAGAAACGTTCTCCTTTAACTGTAAGTATATATTTTCTCTTAAGATTTAGTGGACATACCTGCCACTATGTGTTCCCACATAATCTTGACAAACCTGTCCCGATCACTCCGTGCCTGTTCATGGATGAAACCCAGTGCGTGGTTCATTTCATGCTGAATTGCTCCTTTATCCATGCAACCATTTTTCACCAGGCCTACTGCTTGGCGTCCTCCAATCTTTCCAAAGTAAGACCAGCAGCTAAGAATAAGCAATCAATAAGCAACCAAAAGAATCACATTTAGCAAATACAAATATATAGATGTATTGATTATGTCACCGAGGTTCTCTAGATATGCAGCCACAGCAGGGGACGTGCAAATAATCACTGGCATGAGATATCTAGACTTCTGAAAGCTGCCAAATGACACGGTGGGAGGGAAATAAAGCCTTTGTGCTGAGGATGACAAATTTTAAACCAGTAAATTGGCTATATCAAACTAAGGCGAAGCAGTATAAAGTGTTAAGCAAAACCTGAAACAATTACACTTATTTAAATTTTTACAGCAATTGAGGAAAATTTCTTATTTTGAATTATACCCCATTATCTTTAAATCTACACACACATTTATTCCTGCAGCCTATTAGCTGATGTAACTACCAGTTTATCTAAAGAAAAATTAAAAATTGCACCTTATTTCCAAATCTTTACTGCTAGCATGAAAAAAAACCCAACAAAACAATCACTTAAATCCAAAACAAACCAGAAAAAAATCGAAAGACCTTTTGAGTGCTGCCACTCAGGAGACGGGGAGCTTACCTCTGCCCTCGTTCAACATAAACATAGTCTGTTTCTGTAGTGCGATTTACAAATTGCACACAGGTCAGCGTGGAGATCTCTTGCAAAGCATCAGCAATCCAAGACCTCTCTGTTATTGCTAGAAAGAGAAGGGGGACAGGAGAAATCTTTCTTGGTTGATCAAAAAGCAAGGTGCTTTGATGGGGTGCATTCCTTTGAAACTTCACAGCACTCATTAGCTCTTTATTATACAAGTATAGTAAAAAAAGGGCACCAAACATTCAGAGATCTTCAAACTGATTGGACTTTTATGGGGAAGTTTAGCAATTACAGCTATCCCATACACACATTATTTAGGAGATAGCAGATGGAAAGCAAAAGATTGGCATTGTTCCTTCCATTAGGCAGAACAGAAGAAATGAGGCAGTTTCAGATACAAATAGTTGGAGTAAAGTATCCCAAATAAGCCAGCTGATTGTAGCTAAGTACCAAAACCCTGTTTTGTTTATCAGAAAGAGCAAATGCCTGCCACAGCCCCCTTTGAATCACTTGAGACAGCCAAGGCTCAGGTACCAAATAAAGATCAGAGTGTTTATCTACTTTGGAACATTTTGGCTTAATTTGGCTTCCTCAGTTATGAATCATCTGCAGCTGATGTGTATCTCAGTTTCCTAATATTTAAACTTTGGAGAGGGGGAGTTAGAGGAAATAACCCTCACCCATCCACAAAAGTATATACTGCAGTTCTGGAGGCACAGGGGCAGAGAAGCAGCCTAGATAACACAGAGATTGAGCTTTTCTCAGTTCCTTTCCCTGAGGAACAGGGATCAGGTTCAGGCTGTATTTTACTTCCATGGCATTTTCTCTCAAGGGAAGATCTTTGAAGAAGGGTCTGTATGGAATTCACTCCTGCAGCTTTTGCATAGGACAGAACTATTGACTGACTAGAGGGAATCAAAAAAGGAAAAATATCTCCAAGGATCTTTGCTCCATTTTTGCCTCTACAGGGTTCTAGTGTGGGAATATTTCTACGAGAGATTTAAAAGAAAATTATAGCATTAAAAAACATGTTCCTTGTGGTAATTATGACAAAAATACATTCATAATGGGAACAAATTATGCCTCTTCTAATGTACTTGCTAAATATCAAAGTACATTGTAGCTAACAGGAGCAAGCTAATATTTGAAATTACAATTAATTACCTGACTATTGGCCCAAGTAACCACATATTTTAGTGTGATCTGTTTGGAATCTTAGCCAAACTTCCATAGGGCTAACAGGATAGAAAAAGAGACGTGTCAATAAGTTCTCACTTGTGCAAAGATTGCTTTTGGTGCATGCCAGTGAAACATAAAATAACAGGGGATTAGGGACTGGAAAATCAAGGCAAATTTTAGAGCATCTGTTTGCATACACTCACAGAAATCAGAAGAGATGTTAACTGGAACCTTGACCAGTCCATCCTGTGACTTGGGCCACAAACAGCTCTCACAGTTAATTGCACTGCGTCGCCCTCTTCTCAGAAGGATGTCTCCTTCATACACAGCTATTTCACTACCTGGCAGGTGCAGAAAATAAAGAACATACAAGGCACTGGGAAGGCAAATACATGTGCAGAAAGGGAGACAGGACGTACACGCTAACCAAGATTTTGCATCCTTGGAAATTTCTTTCACTCAAGTTCATTTTCTAATAATGTGAGGAAGGATTAGTATGCTATGACTGATTAGGTCTGCCTTGCTTCCTGGATAGAAAAGTTTAGTATTAATATAAATGTCATAGTGCAGCTGTAATCAATGTTGTGACTAAATAAACTTTAGCTTAAGAAGCTTTGGGAGCTTTCAGAGGGGAATGCTAAGTGTTATAAGTCATTGTCCTCTTCATTAGAGCTTGTGGAATTAAAGAAAAATCATAACTGACTTCTGTAAAAATAGGATTAATAATACATTACTATTAAATAAAGGACTATTTTTATCATGCATACTGAATGTATGCAAGCTATTAATGGCCAGGTTAACTGTGAATTTGACATAAGACATTGTGATGTGCTCCTCTGTTCTGACTCTAAAATGCTGGGAATACATTTCTCACAGACAAAAGCTGTCTGTTATTAAGCAAAAAAATTACAGAAGTCTTGGGTATAGCAGACAGGAAAGTACCATATATCACATAAGATAGAAAACAAAGTGAAAATACTCGTTTGCTAGAGCAACATATGGAAAAGAACATATCTTCTAGCAATTGTTCAATAATTCTTCATAATTTCTTTATCACAACAGCATAAAAAATCACAATGAACGTGACTTTAAAATACATTTGAATTCTGTGAATTGCCTCCACTGATGGTGGGAAAAAACCCCAAAACATTTTCAACGAGAAAAATGTACCAAATCATGATACTGATGTAGCTCCACCAAAACCTGTAGTTATTTATATAATAATTACAATCAGACTCACCTAAGTCATTCTTTCTTGTAGCTATCTGGAAAAAAAAGTACATATATTTTAGTACATGCTTATCTCCATAGCAGAAAATTTCTATCAAGTAGATTCACAGCAGTAAGAGTTTCTAATTAATTTTAAGATAGATCAACTCAGCAGCAGCAATGTAAATTCTCAACATCTCAGGGCAGGGACACACCTGGACAGGTTTACTTAGTGCAAAGCTACAGAGAAATGCTAAATGAGTTGGCAGAAGAAAGTACTTCATCTTCAAATTTCCAAGATGAACTTCTCTGCTCTGCAGCTCAGTTCTCAAAATTGTGGTTAGTTTACTTGGGGCAAGTTTTATGGGAAAGCTGCTGCTGTTGTTAACAAGCGTAACAAAATTAGATAACAAGAAGTATTTCCACAAAACAAACAAGCTGCAGGACCTCTCAAGAGAATTTCCAGGCTCTCATTTCTTATTTATCTTTAGAAAACAGAGGAAGTGGAGCAATAGGAAAGAAAATCCAGTAACCTTTAAGTGACTCATCTTTAATTCTAAGAAGAAGCCATGAGCTGCTGCAGGTCCCCTCACTGCTGACCAAGGGACAGGATATCCGGCTGCAGTCTGTTTACAGCCAAACTCCATCTCAAGGAACCCTTTGATCCATCCCCACTGAGTACCTGTAATAGTAACTCCTTAGCTTGCTGCCAGGAGACACCCTGCTCTGCACAGCCTGTCCCCTCTGTGCACACCTCTCAGCCCAGCATTTCTGGCCAGAAGCACTAAAAATCTGTTGGAGGCAGAGATGAATCTGATTGTTGACAGAAATTGTTTTTTCAGCATGGTATCTTGCAATATAATCATTGCTGACAGAAATTGTGTGTCTTTCTAAAGTCTACAAATACATAAAACCACCAGGTCACAGAGTTTTGGCTTCCCAGCTTCTGGGAAGCCCTCCTCCCTTTGATGTCCATGAACAGAAACAAGACTAGAATACCAGGCCGAATCCTAGAAAACTCACACTGTAAGAGTAAGGCAAAGAATTAGAATATTCATGCTAAAGCCACATGAAAATCACTATAGGCAGGCAGATCCTGTTTTCCTCTCCCAGCGTCAGTCCCTGCACAAATACTGAGGAGCTGTAGAAAATCTTAAAGATTTACTGTATCAGATCTTTAAGAAACAAGCAAAAAAACCTTTGACATTTCCTGCAAAGACAATATTTTGAGGAACCTATATGCTTCACAGCAAATCAAGATGGCAAGTGCCTTTCCAGACAGATATATAGGCTGGTCCTTTGTTTTTAAAGAGTACTTTGCTAGGAAAATTTTCGCTAATATTATGTAAAGCTTTGCTACTAGTATTTTCATTTTACCCTTCTAATAAGAGTTTGCTCCTCAACTTCCTAAAACAGTCCACATTTCTGTGACTTCCACAATTTATCTTCATTTATCATTTCCATGTAGAAAAATAATGAGGTGCAGATAAAAAGGGCCCTTTTTTGTTTGGCTGATCAGAGGATGAAGTACAGAAGTCCTCATTAGTTTGTTACATCATTAACCAGAGGTCCTCCAGTACAGTTCCAAGCAACTTCTGTGTCTATTCAAGATCAGGCCCAAAAGAGAAACAGAAGGAGTCAAAGGAGCATATTTCTGCTGCTACGTATCACAAAATGGCAGAGGAGACAGCAGAAGTTATTAGGCAATAAAAGCAAGAGAACAAGTCCAGATCACTGTGGAGAGCCTGCAGCTGGGTCACTCCAGGTGTGCAGCAAGCAGGGATGGGAGGGCCCTTTGAAGTTCTGCCATACGGTTTTGCATATTCATTCCATGGGGAAAAAAAGCCAAAACACAAACCCTCGAATCAAGAGATTTATCCCATGGTTTAATTAGTTTTCCTGACTGCCAGAAACAACTGGGTATTTTTCAAGGCTAATTTATAGACCAAAGTCTTGTATCACCTGATAACACGTTATCAGGAGTTGTCTCATAGATGCAAATTTCCTTTTTGATGCTGCTTGTCTACATTATCTGCTTTGATATTCCATTAGAATACTCTTCAGGTCTTGGTTTTATTATCTATCCAAATAATTTGACTACACAGCTCTAATTTACTTTACTTCTCCCACATGCCTTTTCTTACATTGCATTTGACAGTTCTCATTCTTAGCCACACTGTCCTTGATCTGCCACATATTTTATCACTGCTATTTGTTAGAAATTTTAATATTATGTTTATCACATTTTTGGGATGCTTACTTAGTTTCACCTTTATTCCATGACACAGAATGGGCATTTCTTTTACCATGTAATCCAAATCGCTCTTGGCAAAATATTAAATGACAAAGTTAGGAAAACCAAACACCTGAAGGTGTTTAAGTAGAAGTTTTTCCCCTAGTTCTGTATCAGTAACAGGTATCCTCACAAGCATTAAGTATAGTATGTCCCATGTTTTTTTCCATAATTACAAAGTACAGAGGCATTTTCCCTGGCTAAAGCATTAGAGTGAACGAACCTATGAAGGATTCCCTTCCTGTGAAGGGAAACAAAATTCAGGAGGGTGAATGGCCATGTGATTGTCTAAGCAGCCAGTGGAATATCACATAAAAGCTCAGTTCCTCAGCTATTCACTCAAAGTTTATGCAGGCAATTTCTAGTGAACAAACAGTTGGCATAACTCAATGGTGTGTTCACCTTAGGAAGCTTATTACCTTTGAGGAGGAATCACAGATATCTCTACATGTTTAAAGAGGCCAACTGTCCTTACTACATTAAAAATCCCAAATTTTAAAGTAACAGTTATAGAAAGCATTGTACTTCCTACATGACAATCCTTTTTAAGGCTGTTTTGAGCAACTCTGCATTTAAGGAGAAGTCAGGTTCTGCGGAAGAGCATTTTAAAATAACTTTGTAGCCATTAAATGAAGCTATTATACCACACTATAACAGATTGAAAAGAGTTAAACAATAAAAACATACACAAAAAATCCTTTGTGTTTAAAATTATGATATTTAAGACTTAACTGTTTACAATATTTTGTCTTTCAGGATGCTAGGATTAGTGAAAGCATGCAATTCATGCCTCATTAACTGATTGAGAGAAGAAAATGAGCTTTCCTACTTTTGAGTTGTGAGTCAGTTAATCAGTTTAGAATAATTAAATCATTGACCTTGATCAAATGCAAAAATGTTTTGGCTTTTGCAGAAAAGGTCAAAATCACAAAAATAAGATTGAACTCTGGTCCCTGGTCCTTACTTTGTCCTGGTTACCAGGCAGTAAAAGCCAGCCTTTCATTGCAAAGGTTTTGAGCAAAGCATACACTTGATACAAAAAACCTTTGAATGCGAGTTTTACTATAATCAGTCCGTTGAGGTGTATGTTACAGCATTTTATTCCACTGCATATATTGACATATTTCCACATTTTGGGTATGTTTTAATTTAACAGAAATATTTATTCTTTAAAAGAAAAAAATCACCAGTGTCAGTACTGAGCTATGTAGAAATCAGTTTGAAACCATCATGTGTGCAGACTCTGTTCCTGCAGCAGTGTGATCTCTGCTATTTTACCACCATTTATCCTTTACCTTTCCAGTGTCAGAATGATACCATCATGCCAGAAAGGAGAGGCACAAGTCCAAAGACTTTGCACTGGAGATAACTCCAGGGGTCAGTGAGCCTTAACCGCAGATAATGCCTTGAGACAGGAATCAGCTGAAGCATTTCCAGCACAGTTGGTTTTCTCTGATTTGCAGTAGCTGTAGGCTGAAGAGAACTTTACTGTAGCTTTTGAACTTGATGCATGGGGAAATTTGGTTTCCTGGAGACAAGCTACAAAGGTTGTTTTCAGTATTTGAGTATTAGGTACCAAAGGACTGAGCCAGATGAGATTGGCTGGTCTATAGCTTCCCTGATTCTGGTAAAATCTGGTCTGAAACCAGTGTCCAACTGCAAACATCACACTAAAGCATTGTTTTATGTTCAGACACGTAGCAGAAGTCTTGATTTAATGCTGCTCTCTAGTGGTTTGCCATGTGTGCAAGTGGGATACATTTCCAGAAACAGTCAGGAATGCCGCATCACCACCCACAGCCTGTTTGCTCCTTTGATCCCTGTCTCAGCTGGGATCACTAACTGCTTTCTGCAGAAAATGCTTACAGGTATGAAGAGTATGTCCTGTAAGCTGTGCTGAAAAATGATGCATCAGTTTTAGCCTGAACCACCTCAAAACTTTGGTTTAGCTTCTGCAGCTTGTGGCTGCAGTACACACCTCCTCCATTATACATACAAAAACCACAAGGTGTTCCTGAAGTGCTTTGATGGCCTATTAGGAAAATGGGCCATTTAACTGCGCCATTTTATCTAAGATTCTCAAATTTCAAGATTTGTTTTATTGATGAGTCCTCCTAGGAGCTTTTACTGTGGAACCCAAATAATCCTCCTACTCTGTTCTAGCTCCACTTTAACTACACAGCATAGGTCATTCCCCCTGTCCTGATTTGCCTTGAAAGAGAGCCAAGACAAATGGGCCAGAAGGGAACAGCCTGAAAAGGGTGACTCTGTAGGGGGGCTCCCGAGGGGAGCACAGCCTGTTTGATGTGAATTGCATCCAGAAGACAAAGGCAGAGACAAGACTAAAGACAAGGACACAGCAGAGATCCAAGGTCCAGGAAGGAGACCAAGACTAGGCCAAAGACACAGTATGGAAGAAATGCAGTTGCTCATCCTGGATCCTTTTTAAAGTTTGATTGCACTTTCCTGTAGCTCTGGCCTGAGGTGATTTAAGCAGCACTTACTGAGCTCACTCAGCAGCCAAGCAGCTTCATATGTGAGCTGCCTCTGAGCTCCTGGGTGAGCATTGTCTGCTCCTAGTAAGTTGTTACTATTTACTGCACTGATTTGTGCTAAAACCCTTTCTTGCCAGCAGTGAGATTTTCTCTGAGACATTCTTCCAAAATGTGAGATTTCTTCAGATCAACTCCTGTAAGGGATGTTTTACCATGAACATCCCTGTTCTGTTCTGTAGCACATCAACCTAAGGGATGCACAGCTTTGCTGTAGTAACCTTACCTTCTCCTTTACTACTTGCGTATCTACTGATTCCATCAAGTTTGATTGTTGTTGGTTTATTTTTCAAAATTCTCATTTAACCCGTGTTATATGATGCCATTTGTCAGAATTTACACTGCTTTTTATTTTCACTATTCAGAACTTCCATTCTTTATTTCTGCTGCTTCCTATGTCTAAGCATGATTGTTGCATTTTTACTATGCCTAGTACACA